GGATTGTTTTATTCACCTGCTTCCATTCAACAAATGAGAGAGCGACACCTCACCTCATTGAACAAATTTGATTGACATCAATTCTCCCGATCCACTAATCACTACATGTTAACCTCACAACAATGGAGGCAAGAGTGCTTTTTTACGTCACATCGATAATTGACTAGCCAGAAAGGGTTTCAAACAGAACACGTGACAACGTGGTTACACAAATCATGACATAAACCATGACTAACACTAACCACTATGTACGCACACGTACATCTTGCAAAGTGCCTAACTAATCTAGGTTTTGGGACGCTTGCATGGAGGGCTCTCAACGTCATCTTCTTCAACACCATTCTCGGCAGTGCCAGTAGCTGACATGTGATCCCCATCGTCCAGGGCGCATGCAATGATTTGTGTTGCATGTGCCATGCAAGGATCGAAGTCTGCGTACTCCTCTTTCAAGCAGCAAAACGACACTTCCACGTTAAGATCAACCTGCTTAAAAAAGTTGTAGATTCAGTTATCTACTGCAATAAGAGCTAGCTATCGAAATCCCTATGGCATAATAAAACTGCCAACGAAAACATCACTCACTTTTCCAACAATCTCCTGGTGACCCATCGGGATCGGCGGTCCTTGCCCCATAATGCTAGCCTGCAAAATAGCAACAAGATGGAGTTTACAATCACTCTACACACGCAAAAACTTAACATTTTTATGGAAAGTTGGTGCAAAAGCGAAGGACCTCATCTCTCACGACTTCTATGTCCGACAGCGGGTCATGGAATACCAGATCATCGAGCCCTACCCCGTCACTGAGAACCTGGTGATGCATCGGAACACATGGCAAGAACATGTTACAAGATGAAACAATGCCTAGGAACGGAAAAGTGCAAGCTTGAGATCCACGATATAACCTGCATCCCCCCAACTATCAATGTTGAACCCGATACTTCCGTCAGCTGGGAAGCTGGCGAGTGCGCGCTGATGGGGTCGCTGCTAGGCACCATTCCACTACAAGAAATACGGTCAATTGTGACTTACCATTTTGGTCGTTGATTCGTCATTGTTATCTTTTATTGACCTTTTTTGACCAAATTCAGATGGTCAACAGTTGGCTGTCAAGAACGAACAAATGTTACCTTTTTGGAATTTCGGTCTTAGATAGATTTGTGACCAAAATTTCAAAAAGGTCATTACCCATTTTCTTGAGCCACGTAGGATCTGACCTGGCTGATATGACGTGGCATTGTTAGTGACCAAATGGAATCATCATAAATTTCATAGCCCAGTCCACCAATCTAGCCTAAATGGGCCCGGCCCAATCATCATAGATTTCACAGCCCAATCCAAATGACATGGGCCCTGCCCAATACCTATTTTCTTAATTGAAATGGTCTGATTTATTTGGGCTAATGCATTATTTTGTCAAAAGCATGCACGTCTTAGGATAGGCCCATTAGAAAAAAAGTACAACATAATACAATATTTCCAAAAAAAACAGTATATTTCATTTCAGTAACACATCATAGGAAATACAATACATCATCCATTGACTCCTATACACAGCAAGGTTCAAGGACCAAGAAGTGCACAACAACAAAAAAATAGTTCTAAAATTGCAAGTGCACGGCAAAAAGGCCCAACAAGTACACAAGTGCACAACAATATAGATTGGACGAGAAGCACAAATATCATGTCACTGGTACACATACATTATCCCATCACCCAGGCACCAATGTTGTGTCCATCTGCTGGATTTGCCACATGGTGGTGTTACTGCATTAGGGCCGTCCCAGCTTCTCCCTGCCCAAATGGCACATGTATCTAATGATCGTTGTACTGCTCCAGCATCACTCCCGCTACAACTGGTGGAAGAAGATCAGCTCATCAATCATCTGCACGCCAACAAACCAAGAAGATTAACCTATTTAGACTACTGAAATAAACCCATCCATCAATTTTTTGTTTCTAAAAATCGGCATCAAATCAACACCAAAACTGAATTAACACGCACAAAAGAATGGAGCGTAGCCATATGCACAACCTAAGAACTTAAGGTTTGATCCATTTTCAATACTATAATAAATACATACAGCCAAAATTTCAATCCATGGACACCACATAGAAAAGGTACTGAGGCACTACTTGCTACAGGAAACCAAAGCAAGGTACGAAGCACAGGCCAGGCCAACAATAAACTGGTATCGAATCCAAAAATAACCATCTGAACTGAAGTTAATAAGACATTTTAGAATCAACTTGATAGTTGATAGTAATGTTTGTGTTGGACACATCTAGAACTGAAATTATACATCATGCCCAAATTCCGATGTCCAATGCCTCGGTTAAGTAAACACTAAGGATGGTACATAGTGAAGATTTGACACAACCAGAACTGAAATCACGAACTCCTTTAAAGACATACACTAATTTTATTACACAGGCAACAAAATCCAACGCGAGCAGAGACTATAGGAGTTGGAACTTGGAAATGTAGGTGTACAATTAGCGCATCACATACCTAGTATCTAACTATCAACAATGGTCAGCATGTAAAAGCCAACTACTAGTAATTGATGATTAGTAGACAGAGACATGAAACAGATTCAGTAGTAATGTGCATGCTCTTATCCATGGATCATCAATCTTAACCAAAACAGAGCAAGTAAAGGAGCTAATCTCCATGAGTGAAACAAATTCGATCGCAGCAGCAATCCATAATGTTCGGTAACAAAAATAAGGTCCTTAAATAGAGAACAAGTTGAATCATGCATCGATCAAAGTGTCTGTTCTTGGTTTCTCTTCGTTAGAAGGCAGACAGGTCAGAAACCGGAGAGACACTAAACATGCGGAATATGTATGGATTGTCAAAACTTGCATTATCCTACTATCACAAGTATAACAAGCTACAGGTTGGCATAGTTCATGAACCATGTACATCGTGACAAATACAATATCATCCAATGCTTGACTATGAACAAAATTGAACAATTACACCTCACAAATGCGGAGCATAGAATCATGGAGCAAGTAGGAGGGGTAGAAGGGGACGTGAGGAGCTCACCGGAGGGGGTTGTAGCCTAGGCCGAGCTTCATCACCACGGCGGCGGCCAGGGGAGGCAGACGAGCCTACCATCATAGGAGCAGCGCCACCACCACCGCCAGAACTAAGATGGCCAGAGCAAATCGCCATCATATGGGTCACCATGACCAAATTATCTTGCAAGGGGTAAAGTATCCATGTTTTAGTACAAACTAGTGGCGTCAAGAACCAAGCAGTAGCAGGCAGAAGGTATATTCCAGTAACTGATGATTAGTAGACAAAAACAGGAAATATATTGCACCAGTAGCAAGCAGAAGCTAAATTTTAGTAAATGGTGATTAATTATAACATAGCATCTCTAGCTATGTTATTGTTTGCATATTACACCAGTAGTTGTCCACGGAAACAAATACAGAAGACAATGCTTGAGATACAATCAGAAACTACAAGGCTTGGAGCATATGATATAATAATTGACAGGCTAGCCATTGTTCTGGCAAGAAATGTGTTCAATTGCATGATCATAGTAACAATTGTAATACAATACCATATATTTGATATGTAGCTATATACCAAATAACCATTATATCTTCCAAAATAAAACACCTCATTAGTTTATAGGACTGAAGTGGATCATCAGTTTATTCTTAACAGCTCAACAGACTATAATCGCACGTGCGCAGCAACCAAGAAGCGTGGCAGAGGAAGATCTAGCATCTAGAATTTCAATTAATTTGCAGATCAGATCTCAGGCGATTGAGCCATTAGCATAACAAAAGGGAAGACAAGAAAAGAATTGCATAAACTATTTGAAATTACAACAAGAGTGACAAGATCCCAAAAGAATTGCATAGACTTGCATCAAGAGAAAAAAAACTAAAAAATATGCATTTGTTCAAGCTATAATTTACATGGTGCTAAATTTTTTACTGCTTATGAAAGAATTCACAAGATCTCAAAAGAACTAATAGCAGCCAAAATGGGTTTCCCACAATCAGAGGTATCGCATATTTTGCACGAATGTGTTCTACTCCTTCCGTCCCAAAATAAGTGACGTTGATTTAGTACAAAGTTATTATATAGTTGTACTAAATATATAGTTGTACTAAATCAACGACACTTATTTTGGGCCATGAGAGGGTGGAGTAGGGTGAGCCCCCTGCACAGTAGTCACTCCAGACTCTTGTGTTCATTGAAAATTCATGCTTCCTGTGTGTGTCCTTGCTCAAAGTCAAAACCTTACTTATTTTGTTTTCTGACATGATGCAGTGACCATGGTGGAATCCAAGAGCAAGGCACTGTAGGTTCTTGGATTGAGAGACTTCCACGTGTTCCATGAAATTATTTAACCTCTCTCTTTCATGCAAAGATTGGCCACTGTTGGTTCCGGAAATGGGATGCAAAATAATCTTATGCTTAATATAGTAACTGACAATAACTAGTGTTGGATTAACATGTAATTATATGCCTGACACATTAATTAGCTCTAAGTGTTTTACGTTTTCATGTAGTCAGTGAACCATGGTTATGTTCTGGACTGTAACTTCTAGGGAATATTTGGTGTGGTGTGGTGTATGTTGAGCTGGGGAAGAAGAGTGCGGGTGTAGCCAAGTATCACATGGCTCATCTCTTCCCATTCGATCCGCAAATAGCAATTGGTGTGCATTCACTAGTATGCCAGGATACCACTGTGTATAACTTCGTATTGGATGTGTATTCGACTAATTCAGAAATCCTTAAATGCAGCTATCTCAAGGTAGGTAGACAGTGGTGAAGAATTCAGGGTGTTGCCCACCTGATAGCCACTCGTCCCTGTCCCATTATCACATCTCTATTTTACCACACCTAAGCAAAAAATGTGGAACTACAGATACAACATTTCCAAGCATACACCAACAGAGGTGCCCATTAACAAATCGAATACACAGTGTTATAACAAAAACTGGAAAGAGAGTCGGGAGATGGCCTAACCTTGCCGCTGGAGAGGAGGTTGACGGCAGTGACACAGGTCGGAGTTGATGTAGTGCGTAAAGGATCCGAGGAGGAAGGCGACGAGCAGGGCGCCGACGGGGCGAAGCATGGAACGGAGGTCGGCATGGAAGAGGCATGGGTGCTCCAGCGCCACTCGGTAGGCGGGAGCGTTAGAGGCGACAATCACGTCCGTGATGGCGGCCAGGCGTAGTAGCACCGTCACCAGCACGGCGCTCAGCGCCTTGCCCGCGCGGGTGATTTTCTCGCAGACGGGAGCACCGTCTAGTTGCCCTGGTGGTCGGGCGTGGCGGCGGCTGGGTGCACGGCATCAGTACCCCTGGGTCACCGCGCGGATCTGGCTGGCAGCACCATGAATCGGTCATCAGAGGGCACCCCTTGAGAAGTGGCGGCAGATCCATGGGTGCCCGATGCGGTGGACGAGGCCGGGGAGAAGAAGAGGGGGTCGAGGAGGGCCCGATGGAGATGCAGTGTAGGAAGCGGGGAAGAGGGAGGTAAGCCATGCTGGGGAGCTGGTGGCGGTGAAGGGAGGCGGCAGGCTCGCCGGCCAGCGAGATGACGGGAGAGGTCACACACCGGCAGGGGGTTGGTGGGGGAGGGGGCGGTGGCGGATCTAGGAGAATGAGAGAGAGGAGTGGGAGGTGATCCTGATAGGGTTGTGTGGCGGCTGTGATGTAGAATGGGTGGAGGAGAAGACACCGCCCACTTGCACAATGCCCTCATTCCAAAAGCCGAAATTCCGTGATCCCGCCATCATTCTCCAAAATGATCTTAACTCCGCGTGATTTTCCTTTTGCATTTTTCACGCCATCCTTTCATGTTCGCTAGCTGCAGCGTGGGCCCCGTCTTCTATTTTACCCCACACTGCATAGAAAGTATGGTATGGCTAGTAAAAAAACTAGAGTAAAATACAAAGTGACATCTTGATGCAAAGTTATACAAATAAAAAATACTCTGATAATTGTTGATGATGTAACCTTGATATGACAATAAATGTTTTATGAAGTTTGTTAACACATTGTAACACTTTGAATCGTGATCTCTTATTTTAAGTAAAAAAATGTTCCTTACCATTTACAATTGTACTGGATATGGTGGTCGAATGGCATCACCAACTGATGCATTCTAATGTGATTAGGTGATGGCATGATTTGCATCGGCCATTATATTCAATTTTAAAGTCATGGGGTTTTAGAGTTTAGCTATTTTCAAAGTAAGATATCAGTGTAGATGGAAGCATGGGTGAAATAGACGTCATCATATTTGGATATATAGACATGCCTTCATGTCAAAACTTGACATTTCTCAATGTCATTTTGCTATTTTTAAGTCATTTCAACGGATACTTGTGCATTTTTATGGATATTTTGAAATTTGAACAACAAGTAAGTAAAACAATGCACACAAAAGGATTGTGAATTCATATCTAGGTGTAGTTATACTTTGTGGCCTCAACATGTAGGCAAAATTGACATCTATACGCGACATGTAGGTGAAACTGTTGAGGTGTCTGCCATGTCATCTCTATTCAAGCCTATGACCTTATTAATTTGGTCAAGGAGGACCAATAATGAGAATATGGATAGTTCAACACATCTTTATGACCATTTTGTGCAATGAGATCATGACCTTCCTGGTAGAAATGGTCGTAATGTTGTAGGGTTTGGACCCTGCTCGACACCACACGACCATTTCATCAATTTTGGTCACAGATCCATGACCAATCTGACCACGGTCATTATTTTTTGTCATAAACGAGCATATTTCTTGTAGTGTTCCCTCCCTCGCTGCTTGAATGATTTTCCAGGTGTCTGCGCCACGTCCATAAATAGAGCACCGAAAATTTTGGTTTCCCTCCCAAACACGATTTTCGAATTTCAAACAATACCATCTACGTCTCATATCTAGTTACGAATTTGAATTTTGTGGCACCAAATCAACCATGGAGCGCACATGCGATGGCTACTCCCTATACCCAGAGATAGTATGCCCTGTCCCGTCCATTAAGTGCATCACAGATGGGTGGTGTGGTGCACTTGCCCATGGATCTTGTCAACAACTGACACGGGTGGCGTGGCGGTGAAGCAGCAAGATCAGTTCAAAGGAAAAGGTTTGGGGGCAGCGCTTCCATCAGTAGTCACTTCAGAACCCTGTCGATGCAAGCATGCTCGCGCCACCACCCACAACGCTAGCAATAGAGACCGCGCAGTCTGGCGCATAGCTATAAGCAGGCCGGCAAATGGTTGGGCAAATTTTCATCACCCACGGGACACTAAGCACAAGAGTATTGTTATCACATAAAACAGCTCTTTTCGTGTTGACATTTTCTCTAAACATTGGAGATTTTCACTCAGGAATTTCTTCATCAAACATTTTTCTTATCCACACCGAAGCCAGAGCCATGCCCATGCCTTGTAATGGACCCTGGAACTCAGCACCCCACCCACGTCGATCTGATGCAAGCCATCAATGGTTGTTCCATACGTCGGGCACACATGTGCAAGATAGAGGTCGTGTGCTCACCACTGGCGCCTGGGGGCATAGTGCACTAGAGGACCCTACGCCAAGCTACCAACCCTAGGCTTTTGTCACTTCAAAATATGACAGCAGTGGCGTCATCTGTGTACAAATGTTGACTCTAGGCTACAAATGTTGACTCTAGGCTCCATTGTGGTACATGGATAGGATTAAAGCAAGCACCTTGGACGACTCTCACCTTGGAGCAGAACCTGGCACACAAGAACTTGACTGCTTTGCATCTCCGACTTGCAAAATGCGCAATTACGTTTGCCCCCACACCCGAGAGCAAGAGATGCAAAATTTAAGCCATGACGGCGGCAACATTTTCGCACGTTTTAATTTGCAGCATACATCCTAACCAACTGATTTAGATCGCATATGATCGAGTTCTTTTCATCCATGGATGACATGAAGTCCAAAAAACATGAGACAAAGCAACCAAAACAAGTGCAAAAGGAAATCAAGTTGCCTACAGGAAGTTTGTCTCAAATGGGCCACTTTTCTTAGTGCCGCAAGTATTGCACCGGTGTCCAACCACACCACAGTTCGTGCATTTCGACGACTTCCTTGGGGCCTTCGACAAATCGCCTCGCTAGGGGCACGTTGTGCACTTGTGCCCCTGCTCTCTGCAGATCATGCAAAACCGCGACCTCTTAAGTTGTTGCTCATAAGGAGCCTTGTCCCTGCTGGTTGTCGGCCTCCCCCTTTGCCTCTTCTTCTCATTCAGCCCAACAGCTGAGCAACTGGATTCATCGTCTCCAGTATGTTTTTTCATCATAGCATCGCCCTCCGTGGATG